CCAGAGCAAAGTCCCATCCAACTGTAATACATATAATGAAACTTTGGGTATAAGGACACTTCGTGAATCAGGACACTTTTCTGATGGCCCGCCGAGTGTCGTTATTCGCAAAGTTGACTGTACTCGCTTGAGACTTGATCGGACTAAGTTTGCACATGCGTAGGAAGTAGGAACACCACCACCCTCCGTGATCAAAAGGCAGATGCAGCTCCTTAAGCAGTGGGAGGGTGATACACACACACATATATACATGTACTTGTGTATGGCTGTGTTGATTTAATCCTCTCTACTGTTGAACCTGTACTGTAGAATACTGATGGGTGTTTAATAGTGTATGTGTGTGTGTGAGAGTGTGTAGCTGTGTGAAATATTATAACAGAACTGTCGTTGGCCGCTAGCCTGCGGAGCGTGCTGCGTACCGTACTCAACCGACCTTCCCCATGTCTGTTGGCCCCTCGTATGAGGGGACATGTGACCGTTTGGTACGGAAATGTTCAGGACAGGACTGCGTATACGTGTGTGTATGTGTGTGTGTGTGTGTTAGTGGCGGTCAATTCATCAGTCTTGCGAGCTGTTGAATGGTGTAATCCCAGCACAAGTTGCTATGTCTAACGTAGCTGTTCGCTATCATCGCTTCCGCGATGGGCAGGTCTGAGGTCTGAGGTGTGGCGGGGGGGGGGGGGGGGGGGGGGGTGTTAGTGTGTGTGTGTGTGTGTGTGTCGCTCTTTGGCATTGCATGTATTGTACTGACAGTTCCCATGCCCTTTGCTCACAGTGTATCTGTGTCCTGTTTGTCTGTCACATTGTGCCTCTGCCACCATCACCCCAACCTCCACCACCACTTCACACTGCAGGCACACGTACCGACAAGCTCCCACGGCATGCGGGCCCGTGCCAGTGCCATGACATCATCAATGACATCATCGGCATCGCCGGCTGCCGCCCAGCACACGGGCATGCTGCCGTCCAATCCCCTACCACCGAACACCAGTGGGAATGAGTCGGAACACGTGCAGCGTAATGGCAATGACAGATCGTCTCCGTGTCCATCTCCCGGTCCGGGATTCCGAGACTCGCCCCAACCTGGTGATAGCAATGTGCGTAGGAAACCTGCATCAGTGCTTGCTCAGACGTACACGAACTCTCCGTCGTCACGCCACACGCCTGGCTCTCGTCGCCGGTATGTTTGTGTGGTTGGCTACATGCTCTAGTTGTATGTATGTATGTACTGTAAGACATGTATATATAACGAGGAAGCAAATCTAACGTTTTAACGGATGACATTTCTTCGTTATAATAAGATCTGTTGAGGCCGTACTGCTTCATATATGCTGTGTGTGGATATGGAAGAATACTGCAAGATCGTTAACATATCTTCTCGTTAACCTATGAATTTTGGACAATCGTTAAATTTGCGACTCGTTATAATAACATGTCTTACAGTATTCTTTAGTTTACTTCGCAAAGTCAAACGGGATCGTTGCCCAATAATGTTATAGCGAAGGGATGTGTGTGTATGTGTGTGTGTACGTGTTTGTACGTGTGTGTGTGTGTACGTGTGTTTATGTGTGTATATACTGGCTCTGTCTACCGGACATAGAGCACGACACGCAGCCTGAGGACCTTAGGCTTAGACACTTGTCTATATACAGTATAATGCGTGTACATAGTCGATTAGTGTGTACATGATTGGGTATACATGTGTGTGTGCACGTGTATTCGTACACTCGCCCACGGAGAATGGGGTAAGACTATCGGGTGTAAAGGTTCGAACAATGGTACAAGACTGAACAGGGTGATAGATGTTCTCTGGTGTGACCCCCCACCCCCGGCCCCGTCCATCTAGGCTTCTGACAGCACTGCTGATAAGTATGTGTTGCATGCAAGGTGTCTAGTTCTCAGCACACACACACACACACACACACGCATCTTTGTCATGTCCTGGTTCCTGGTTGCCTTGTCATCAAGCAGAGGATCCGACCAATCGCATTGACAAATTGATTGTACATGATGTACTGTATGCTTTGTGTACCCAACATAACCCACAGGAAACCTTGACCTCTGCGCATAGAGCTTGGGAAAGAAAACAAGCTTACTGTAAAGTCATGTATAAAGGCCGCAGCGTATATGACTTTTTGGGGGAAATTTTGCAGGCTGCTATACGAGACGCTTCTATACAAGACAGGTATTTCTATGTATGTCAGCACTGAAGCCAGGCTTATGTGCCGACAGTGTATCTTGAAAATCAGGCTTCTATTCAAGACAGGCTTCTATTCAAGACAGGCTTCTATATGAGACGGCTTTAAAGGGGAAGTATACCCTAAAATCAAATTTTCACCAGTTGTAGTCTTCGGGGTGCTGAGTCGAATGGTCTTGGTCCGAGGAAGCTGAGACGCTCCCTTCCTACTTGAATCCCAATCGAACTCGCGCACTTCCACCGAAACTGGGTGACTGCGCCCTACTAGATGGGGATTTGTATGCAAAATGTCACTAAAAGCGCCATATCGTTCTTATAAAAGCACGGATGACCGCGATTGGCCCATATGTTGTAGTCTTTTGGACGCTGAGTCGACTGGTTTTGGTCCGAAAAGGCTGCGATGCAGCGTTCCTCCTTTATTCCCAATCGAACATGGTTGAACAAGCGGTCACGTGCTCCTGCGTACACCAGTCACCTGGTCACCGTGCCTGCAGGGTACAACTTACTAGCCTGTTTGACCTTTTTTGGGTGCAGTCCTGTCACTCGAGTTGAACTCGAGTTGAACCTTGGTGTGAAAGTTGTCGCCTGCTGGCGCGGTGACCAGGTGATTTGGGCACCCAGGAGCACGTGACCGCTTGTTCAACCATGTTCGATTGGGAATAAAGGAGGAACGCTGCATCGCAGCCTTTTCGGACCAAAACCAGTCGACTCAGCGTCCAAAAGACTACAACATATGGGCCAATCGCGGTCATCCGTGCTTTTATAAGAACGAAATGGCGCTTTTAGTGACATTTTGCATACAAATCCCCATCTAGTAGGGCGCAGTCACCCAGTTTCGGTGGAAGTGCGCGAGTTCGATTGGGATTCAAGTAGGAAGGGAGCGTCGCAGCTTCCTCGGACCACGACCATTCGACTCAGCACCCAGAAGACTACAACTGGTGAAAATTTGATTTTAGGGTATACTTCCCCTTTAATACAAGACACACTACGGTATGCAGTTTATGGAGATGTCTGTCTGTGCCGCTATGTGTATATTTGTGTATTGTCACAGATCGACTGTCAGCCACGACTTTTTGGCCATCACTATTCCAGTGCCGACATCCTGCATCATTTGCGGAAAGAAGGTATGTTGTGTGGTGCTGGTGGAGGTTGAGGTGGTGCTGGTGCTGCTGCTGCTCGTGCTTGTGCTGGTGCTGGTGGTGTGTGCAGGGGGGGGGGGGGGGGAGGGGGTGGGGGGGGGGGGGGGGAAGTGGGGGGGGGGGGGGGGGGGGGTGCTGGCAGTGATGGAGGAGGCTTGTTTTTGGTTGTTTCTAGACGGCAAAGAGGACAGTGACCTGTGTCCATCTACTTTTGATTGTTGTGGGACCATCACTATGGCTGATGCAGTGATGGTATTGTTATACTGTGGCTGTCATTGCTTCTTTGGTCATTTCTGTCCTGCGCGTGTGTGTGTGTGCGTGTGTGCGTGTGTGTGTGTGCGTGTGTGCGTGTGTGCGTGTGTGTGTACGTGTGCATACTGCCGTACACATACTATAGATCTTCAAGAAGCGGTGTCAGCGTTGCCAAGGCTGCATGGGAGCAGCTCACACCGAATGTGCTATCTCCAGCAACACTGCAGTATGTCCACGGTGAGTAGTAGTAGTAGTAGTACTCTATGTGTAAAGGGTTTTCAGGACCGCCGGAAGCAGTTTTTGATTGGTTTGGTAGTATCATGGCCGCTCACACAGTTTGTGTATGATATGGCGGGTGCACCTGCCCTCCACAGTAGGAAACCTGTGTGGGTGGCTGAAAAGTTGGTCCGGTAATAACCTGACCAAGCGGACCGGTTCCGGCGGGCTGGGTTTTGTTTCTGTGTTCCATGTAACACTGTATACACAGTAACAGGTACCGTGTCTTCGGCAATACTGGACGAGGCACTTACTAGTAGTAGTTCACGAGCCGTAAAATGTCACCCAATTTGAAAAAAATCCATGCAAAAGCCCTGATGTTTCAGCCAGGTGGTCATACAAGATCATTTCTGAAAATACCTGTGCGGTATCTGCAGTACACGAATGTACAAGCATAGAATACAAAACACAAAGACGCTGGGATCTCGCAAATAGGAATATGACGAGCGTGAAACGGCAACCCCTTTCTGCAGCATCCAATATTGCTGTTCTTCTATAGGAGATGAGACACTCAGTGTATGTGAGTACAGTAGCATAGGTTCTACACAGAGCAAAGGGCAGGCAGTACAGGTTCAGTGTAGCGTACCTAGTCCTTCCAGGGGCGTGCTCGGCCCCCAACTAGGGGGGTGCACGGGAGCCGAGGGGAGCCCCCCCCCCCCCCCCCCCCGGCTATTTTCTGCAATTTGTTTGCAACCTTTCTTGAATTTTAGAGCATATTTGCATACATTACAATTGCCTTGGATCAGATTGAAAATTTTTGGGGGGTGCACGTGCCCATCGCCGAGCACGCGCCTGCCTTCATGGAGGGGGGGGGGGGGTAAGATCATGTACTTGACAAGCAAGGACATGCAGCAGCTGGTTAAGGGGTACTAGTCCTCTTTTCACGGCTGTATCTGGGCCGACCGCACAAGAACAGGCATCACTTTGGTTCCACACAAGCAAATCACTCCAAATTTTCTCCACACACAGATGAAAGGGTGGTGATTGCAACAGCAGAAAATATATTGTCATGCTTTGCGAGATCCTTGGAAAATATAAATCAGAATGTACACTTTTCTGTCGATATGACGTGCAACACATTTTCTTTAAAAAAATTCCAGGGGAAGACTATTTGATGGGTCCAAATTTGTTGGATCCAAACCATCTAGGTCTGTGGAAGGGCACCTGGGCCAGCAGAAGTCCATCCAAAGGAACAAAGGACGCACAATACACCTTATAAAACAACATTATATAATACGCAATCGTTTTACAACAGGATTGATTGTAAGACTGCTTTGGCTCAACGCGAGCGCATCTTGGGTTCTCTTAGTTCAAAGGATAAAACTGTAACTCATCATTAGACACCGTAATGAAAAAACCAATGAAACAGAAGACGACACTAGGAGACAAGCTCCAGGAAAAACGGGCTAGAAAACCGTATGTCGTACATGAAGACCATGGGAATGTCGTAGGCGTGCCATGGCGCAAAGGGTAAGTAAAATACTTTGGAAGACACGATATAAAGAAGAAAGAAGACTGTATAATCAATTGCTTGTATGCTTGTATGTATGCTTGGTGCGAACCATTAGTTTGTGACCATACTTATTCATGCAATATCTAACAAGCCTGTAATATCTACAAAGCATGCAATATTCCACACTCCCTCCGGATGAGAGTTTAGAACTTGTGTACTACATGTACCTGACTTATTCCTACAACAGCGTGATGATACTAGAGTACCGAGCATGGTACAATGGGATACTGTCATCTAAAACAGAATCTTGTTTCAGTTCTATAAAGCGCCGGCAACAATCAGTTGCTGTCTGGCCTTATCAGCTGACCGGGTAGCATCTCTCTTGCGACGCATGGCGCCGGGCTGCACACCCGATTGCTGGCTAGCAGAGGCTGTGTCTGTAACAACTGCCTGTACTTGTTTGGCGAGAACGTCGGCGGCTGGTGCAGGTCTCGATACCTCCACGGGGTACAGTCGCTGTACTGGACGACGCATGGTGGATGCTCGTCCTCCACGGGAAGAGCATTTTCTCACTGCTCCTTGGACCTTGTTGTCCTTGCCTCCCTCTGGACTTCTTCGCACTGAGACACTGCTGAGCCGCTGTCGATATCAGACCGGGGTTGTGGCTCGTGTAGCCACTTGGGACCGGTGTACCAGATGGTATTGGTGAGCTCACTGGGCTTCACTCCTCGTGACGGCAGGTCGGCTGGGTTTGACGATGTTGGGCAGTAGCTCCAGCAGGACGTCGGAACGAGACGTCGGATCTCTGTCACCCGGCTCTCGACAAACTGTTTCCAGGTTTGCTCCACGCCAGCTATCCACGCTAGTGCAACTTGAGAGTCTGACCAACAGTGAATCTGATCTATCTTCATCAGATCTGCCAACGTTGTTGAAACTGAGGTCATCAGGCAAGCCAATACCAATGCTGAGAGTAGCTCGAGACGGGGAATGGTCTGCTGTTTCAGCGGCGCAACTCGAGTCTTTGCGGCAACTAGCTGTACTGAATAGCCAATCTACACCAGAGTAACCGCCTCGCTTTCCATGCCAGGAGAGGATCGTCTCGTGTTGGCAGAGCATGAGTCTGCATGTTTCACTTGCCACTCCTGCAGGGTAGCAGTTGAAATTGTTCCACTCTCTTCCTTGGCAGTCCACACAGAGCACCGATGGCAATACTTGGCGCTCGTATGGATGGCCACAACCTTTCCTGATGACCAGGAGATTGCCGTGAACACACCGTTAAGAGAGGAATACCCTCTGCGCTGCCATGTGCCGTCAAAGGTTTCTGCATTTTGACCTTCGGGATTTTCTGCTAACAGCTGCTGGGCAGCATAGTTGCGGCTTTTCTCGCCAACCGTGTGTGCAGCCTCGATTGCAGCTTGTTAGTGTTTCTGGAAGTTCGTCTTGTTGACAGGGTTGGGGAGGTCCATAATGGCACAGAATTTCTGGAGACCAGAGTGTCCTCGGCTAATGCGCCTGGCAGCTAAAACGGAGCGTCGGTTGACGTAAAAAAATCTTGTTTTTATGGACGATGAAAACTTGACATTAGTACCAGGACATGATTCTGATGAACAGGATATGACCATGTGTGATCCTAAGCCTTGCTGTCTCTCCTCTTCCAAAATGATACCGCCAACTTTACAAACTGCACACACAGCACATTTCAGCAGAATCTCCTGCAGCTGCTCCAAGTCGAAAATACGGTTTCCCGCACCAGTACAGTATGGGGCTCATCAGCCTCGAGACAATCACTGGCATCACTGCTGTCACTCGTGTCTGGGTTCGAGGTCAGTCTCCGTTCCAACCTCGCCATCGCTGTCTGATGTCTCCTGCTCCCACCAGGGTTTGCAGCCGACGAGCTTTGCAAATGAGGAGCTACGTCCAATATCTTCTGGCTCCGCTTCCACAGGAACAGGGTTAGGATCGGGAGCTGTTTCAGGCTTCTTTCCATCAAATTTCTTCTTTTTGGCAACGTAGTATCTACCTTTCCTGTTTTTTGTTTCCCATCTTCAAGCTCAGCACAGCGAGTGCAGAATAGTTGCTGTTTGTAATGCAGAAAGCTCAAGGGAACCCAGTTTTTACGCTGGGCCGCCGTTTTAGTGCAGTCATGGTAACGAATATTTGAATTTTTGCCACGTGGCATGAGTACTCATGTTTGCTCTTCTGACAGCATGGTCACGTTGCAGTGCGTACATACCCACGCGCACTTCTCTGGCCTGTAACTCTGCAAATACTGTGCCGATTCGCCTCAAATTTCGGATTCCACAGGTTCAGGGCCTTGTGGGTCGGGTGAAAGTGTCAAAAAGCCGATTTCTAAACTTCGATGTTTGACCCTACAAAGGAGTACTACAGTGCTGGCAACTGAAATCCGACCCCCTGAGCGGTGGGTTCACATTCTAGCTGTCTCTGTTTCGTAGTTTTACCATCCCGTGTTGGGTCTTTGCGATGTTAGCGCACCGCTCAGGGGGTCGGATTTCAGTTGCCAGCACTGTAGTACCTATTTAATGAACCGCCGTAACTATCATGATTCAGTTAGCGACCCTACACGTGTGTATTCAGACTCAGAGGACTAGTACTCTACACTGAGGACTTCCTCAGTTCAGGCTGTAAGCATTGCAAGACAATGAGAGCATGTGTGTGTGTTCTGTGTGTGTGTGTGTGTGTGTGTGTGTGTGTGTGTGTGTGCGTGCGTGTGCGTGTGTGCGTGTGCATATGTATTTGCATGCGTGTGCATGTGTGCTGGTACTGCATTCACAGGACACCCATCACCGAGGCATACAGCAGTGAGTCGGATTCCGACTATGGTGACGACCATGGAGGGACTCCAGCAGCAATGACGACCACCAGCACCAGCAGCAGCAGTGCCACTACTGGTCCTGCTTCATCGTCATCATCATCAACATCCTCTACAGCATCAGCACGCTACAATTCCCACGAACACTTTAGCAGCCCCTCGTCATCACCCACCTCTGAACTGAGAGACACTGATGAAGCCTTGGTGTCTGGTTCTGATGCTGTTGTTGCTGCTGCCGCCGCCACCGCTGCAGCTGTGTCAGCCGTGGTTGCACCGGGAGATGACGCGTTGTCAAAGGTGTGTAGATTTGTATTGTGTGTGTGTGTGTGTGTGTGTATGTGTGTATGTGTATATGTGTGTATGTGTGTGTGTGTGTGTATGTGTGTGTGTATGTGTGTATGTGTGTATGTGTGTGTGTGTGTGTGTGTGTGTGTGTGTGTGTGTGTGTGTGTGCGTGCGTGCGTACGTGTGTGTATAGGGATTCACTGGCCAGAAAAAGTCACTTCAAATAGCTGTATGGTGTAGACCAGGCTGAATAGTGACGGTCAATTCTTCAGCCTTGCAAGCTGTTGAATGGTGCAATCCCAGCACAAGTTGCTATGGCTTCTGCCGTAGCATTGCTATCATCGCCTCCGGCGATGGGTGTCAAAGGTCAAAGGTGCGTACGTGTGTGTGCATCTGCATACTTTGAAGTACATATGTTTAATTGTTGGTGTTTGCATATGCAATCCTGTACAGGATGCCGCTCTAGCAAGTTTTGAAACTGACAAGCTAGTGCGACAAGCAGGTCGTGGTATGTACGGTGATCTGGCGTTGGAAGACCGCAGAGATAAACTCACAGAACAGGTGGGAGCCAGTGTGTGTGTGTGTGCGTGCCTGCGTGCGTGCTGTGCTGTGTTCAGACATGGGTGTCGTGATTGCGCGCTGTGCTGTGCTAGATGAGCGGGAATCGCGAGTCAGGCTCTCCACAGTCTTAGCAAGCTTTTGATTTTTCCTTTCCAGGACCTCTACTCTACGGTCAAGATCCGTGCATGCATTCTTTGCACGGTCAACAACAGTTGCACTTGGCAGTGCCTTTCAACTAGGGGTGATCCGGGTAACCCGGGTACCCGTCTGTTTAGCTGCTGATCCGTTAGCAAACGAGTACCCGATAGTCGTGTAGGATTGTAGGGTACAGTATTAGAAGCTTGCTTGTACAGTTGTACAGTTCAGTGCACAGTTTTGAGTGTGTTTTTCCTCGTTCAATCCTGCTACATATCACGGTATCCATTGTGGCTACGACAATTTTGACTGTTTGCATGTAGCGCAGTGATTGTGCACGCTGTGCTTGTCGCGGTGTAGTGTACTTGCATGACTTCGCATATCCTCCTGGCATGAAATCCGGAAGGCTACTGTAGCAATTGTTGCCCGAAAATCTCTCTCCTATCAGAATGCCTGTAAAAGACATGTTGCGCTTACGATCCCAAGCAAATGCTATGTTTTTGGAAAAAGTATGGCGGATAAAGGGTATCCGATAACCTGCCCGTTAAGCCAGATACCCGTTTGTTACCTTAAAGGGTAACCGTTTCACCCCTGCTTTCAACTCCATCACACGATTTACACGTCGGTTTCTTCAGCCCCCCACCCACACCTGCCACGACGACATAATATCTTATAGCTGTCCGCGCAATCTGAACTGCTTTGGAAATGAACTTGGTGACGTTCTTGAGTACTCAATACGTTCTCGGGCACTGTGACTTTGCAACTTTGCATTCTCATATCTGGTGAAGAAATTCGTGCTTGTGAATGATATAGAACTGCGAGAGTCAATAGGCATCTTTAAATCTTGCATACAGAGCGGAATGACTTTGCCCAGAACAAATTGACACTTGCTTACAGCTACAGAAAGGCACACCTCCGAGGGCACGGCGGGTTGCACCTCCGAGGGCACGGCGGGTTGCACCTCCGAGGGCACGGCGGGTTGCACCTCCGGGTCTGCCAGTGGTGGAGCTAGAGGTTGACCCTTCTCACCAGCTCACCTCAGTTTCCCTGGTCTTGACTACACTGCCGCTGCTGTTGCTGCTGCGGTGGAGGAGGAGGCTCCGGGCAATTGACGATTAGATGACTAGGGCTGCCACAACGGTAGCATGATAGCTGCCCACGACGCGGTGCTGCAGTTGCCAGAGCGGCTAGGGTTTCCTCCAACTTCGACATCCTCGCCAGGAGCTCCGTCATCCCGTCGGGTCGCGCGTCACATACAGCTACAGCTGGTGGTGGCTGTGAACTGAGGTGGGTCTGCAGGATGGCCAGGGCCCATACTGGCCGTAGCACGTGCTGCAGTGTGGCATCTAGAGTGCCGGGAGCCTGCCGCCGGACATCGAGGCGCAGCTCTCGGCTGTCCAACCCGTCGATACACTGGTCCTTGGCAAGCTGCTCGCGGACGTTGGCTGCCAGGGCAGGGTAGTCGGATAGGGACTCTCCTGGCCACGGGTGCCTGGCCTTGAGCTCAGCTCGGTGAACATCAACTCGGACGGCTGGCGAGAATCTGCCCTCCAGGGTTGCCACCAGCTGTGCAATGTCTCCTTGCGCTACGTCAGTCAGTGAGCCGTAGTATGACTGGGCACTGTCAACCAGGTACAGAGGGAGGTAGTCAACCTGTTCCTGCTGTGTCCAGGCATTGACTCTAGACACTTGCCGGAAGTGCGCTATCCAGATTGTCCAGTCCGCAGACGCACTGCCATCGAATTTGTCCAGGGTACTAGCGCACGGCCGGAGACGAGGTGGGTTGCCTGCCTGCTGGTGTTGAGCCATCTCTGCACACAGGTATGGTATCTTCCACCAAACAAACAACAAGCAACAGAACTTAACACCGCTGCCAGCAGATGTAGCCTGGCCTCAGTGGGCCAGGCAGCAGACAAGGAGAATCATCAGATCAACACTCACAAATAGGTTACAGTTGTGGATCAGAAGCAGACTCAGGCTGTGTTTACATGAGGCGTTTCAACCCGCTATAAACACAGATTGACTGGCGCGTTTACATGACGCATTGCGCTTGACCCGGGTTGAAATTTCGCCCCGGGTTGATTTCAACCCTCCCGTTGAAATGGAGAAAGCGTACTATCGTACTTCTGTGCGTCTCTCGCGCCAGGTTTGAACAGCGCTGCACAGGAATTTTTTCCATGGCCGAATAGATTATACAGAGAGGGAGGATAGAGGGTTGAACTCGTTGTTGACCTTCAGATACCAGTGACTTTTAAACTGGTCTACTTTCAAAGTTTGTAATGTTTGTAATGTTGTTTTCCATATTGATTTTGTCCCCTGGGTAAACCTCGTGTAAGCCCTGCTGATATGCAACAGTGTGACATAGTGTCTGTGGGGAGCAGAGACACTAATGAAATGCTTCAAGTTCTGTACCATACCCTGTAAGTTCTTGTGGCCTTTTTTTCGTCGAAGATCTCTAGGAGATTAGAAGATGTGCCCAATTCTAAATGAGTCCACGAGAGCGCTCTTCCAAGAAGTGATGGCTGATCAGAAATTTGAAAGAGGCCCGTGTGAATCCATGCTAACTCTCGCGTGTCTCGGCATTGTTTGGCTAACCCAGATCAAGCGGCTCCAACAAGAGATCGACAACGAGAAGATGAAACAGAGCGAGCTGTTACATCAGCGCAAGCAAGCGACGGTCGAGCGGCACAAAACCGTGATCAACGAGTGCATTGTGAGTAAATCAGTTTTCGTACTATTCATGTAAAACGATTTTACAGCCTGTTGATGAGTGTTATTCTGCTTTCGGTTACACCTTCCGCCATACAGTACTGTTGGTCGCCGAAGAACTGGGTGCGAGGGGGGGGGGGGGGCAGTCTCCTAGCCTAGACCGTTCCTCAACTTCTTATTTTCATGTACTACAGTCTATGCACAGTCGAGTCACCGTGTGCACATTGGTAAGGTCACTATGCTGTGCTTGATGAAATTCTAGCCTGGCCGTTCTTCTGCACCCGGCAGTGCTGTAACTTGTGAGCAGTGTGGGTCTTGTGTGCTCATTGCCTTCTCTGCTGTCATCATATTTCTCTGAAAGAGAAAGAGGGTTGGTCAACTGAGCGCGACAATCGCCTTCTTCTAACAGCATACACCCGCTTACGAGGACACGTCCTTAGCCACGTACAAGGACGTGTCACTTAGACCTGGATAAATGCGCTTTTCATCCTTTCCCTATTACAGCAAGGGTATCCAGTTTCATGCCGTTGCATACAAATAAGCTGAATGGTGGTGGTTAGTTCTTCAGCCTGGGAAGCTGTTGAACGGTGCCATCCCAGCGCAAGTTGCTATGGCTTCTGCTGTAGCACTGCTGTCATCACACCCAGCATTGGGTGTCTCTAAAGGTCTAGATGCTTCACTTTGTTTACTTATCCATGATGTATGTGTGTGTGCGTGCGTGCGTGTGTGTCTGTGCAGTCTCATTCTAACAACAAACTGGAGGCCCTGACGTTGCTGATGCTGCAGTACCTCTCTGGTCTGCATGACTGTGAAGAAGCCGCCGACAGTTAAGAGAAGTGAGGGTTGAGTGTGAGGAACATGACAGCACACACTCTCTCGTCTTCTGGGTATGTATGACGTCATCATGCCATCATGATGATGTCATTGTGGTGATGTTGCACTGGGATGGCATTGATACTTCTGTTGCAGCAGTGCTGCGACGGTAGTGCATGTGTGTGGTGCGTAGGCACTGCGGCATCGTCACCATTGCACCGCCCATGTGCAGTGTGCAATGATGTCGCCGTGATGTCACTGAGCTGCTACCACATAGGAATGATGTCATTGCCCCAGACTGCACCAGTGATGCTGAGTGCATGATAAGTTGTAACATTACTACTTCATCTGCTAGTACATGTAGCAGTGCAGTAGTACCAAAGTAGGTGTATGTAGTGTAGGGTGTCTCTACCGCTAGTACATGTAGTTAGTAGTGCAGTGCAGTATGAGACTAGGGATAGTGCAGTGCAGTATGAGACTAGGGATAGTGCAGTATGAGACTAGGGATAGTGCAGTATGAGACTAGGGATAGTGCAGTACTAGTATTGTATCCATCCTACGTTGAGTATTGGTGCTGTGCTCGCCACTAGTACTACATGTATTGCCAGTAGCACACTGGTTATCAGTGTGTTGTAGCACACCAGGCAGGCAGGCTCATCCCTGCCTGCTACATAGCCATACTGTAGTGCTAGGCAGTATCTCACGTCACATGACCGTTTCCATAGTCGCCGCCAATCAGCACACTGTTAGCCGTTCTATTCTAGTAGACGGTGTCGAGTCGTGTGACCGTTCCCATGGTTGCGGCCAATCAACATGGCCGTGCCTCAGTCCTGTAGTGACACGCAGTTGTGCGGCCAGTCAGCGGCACTGGATGTTAGCTTACCAACCGTACTGTGAGCTGGGGCCTGCACCGAAACTCACTCCGCTTCTAGTCTCGTGTGTTTGTAGATCATAGCACACCCCCTCCTCCACCTCCACTATGTACTCTCAAACCCTGCCCGCCGTCGTTTGTGTTCCCATGTCGCATCCGCTGTAGAGAAGTGTTTAATATAATTGTTTTATCATTTTATCACTCTTGTTATTTTCTTCCTAACTTATGTTCGAGTTGCGGCTGGCCGTGATTTCTAAATGTTGAAGTTTCTTGTCTCGTTTGTAGTCAACGACTAGTGCATTTTGTACGGTATAGACGTTGGCAGCATAATATCTGTCTCTCGTTCATGTACTACAAGATAATGCACACAATTCCCCGAGATAATACTGTCACTGAATTAATTTCATCTTGGTGACAAATGGAATATCTTACTGTTACGCTCACCTCACCGAACCGTTTGTAAAATTGATAGCTTATCACCGTGCTCACCGGACCCATGTGTTTTACTCGCGTATTCACGCAACTGATCACGTCTTTGTTAATACAGTGTATCATTTACACAGCGCCAATGAGATGACTCTCTACTGTACGTAGCACCTACAAGTACCCCGATCATGTCTCATGATAATGCGCTGAGCTTGTTTGGTCTTGTCTCATGCCGTCTACACCCTACACTACTGTGGTCCCTTCTCAAGGTTTTCTGTTAGTGAATGGGGGTTGTAGTAGTGAATGGGGGTTGTAGTAGTGAATGGGGGTTGTAGTAGTGAATGGGGGTTGTAGTAGTGAATGGGGGTTGTAGTAGTGAATGGGGGTTGTAGTAGTGAATGAGGGTTGCAGTAGTGAATGGGCATATTAGCGAATGGGGGTATTAGTGAAGGTGAGTATAGTGAATGGGGGTAGTAGTAGTGAAGGGGGGGGGGGGTATGAATGGGGTATTAGGAAATGGGGGTTGTCACATGCAAATGGCAGTTTCTGGCCGTTCAATTCGGCGTGTCCCGACCTAGATCAACCAGACTTGGATTTGCTCAACCCACCTCCGAAGCCTCGAGCAGCATGCACCGCTGGATAGACTGTGTGTCGTGTCGTGAAAGCAAAGTAACGTTACAATGTAGCGTATTGAAATGCTCTGAATACACTATAATTATACATTTGCTTTAGAAAGGAAATCACAGCTGGCACGTGCATGCAGTTCATTATAGTTGAGTTATTTGTGGGTTTTCTGGAGAGGAGAATTGAAAAATCATAACCAGTGCAGGCAGCGGTCACAGGACATGCAGGAACACAAGAGCGTTCACTGTTTGAAACTAGATCAGGTGTGGTCTGCGGCGTTGCTTGTGAATAATAACAGCAGTCCATTTGTGTGGCCACTTTGGCCAGGTGGGATGACATCACCATCCACAATGGCCAGGTGGGATGACATCACCATCCACAATGGCCAGGTGGGATGACATCACCATCCACAATGGCCAGGTAGGATGACATCACCATCCACAATGGCCAGGTAGGATGACATCACCATCCACAATGGCCAGGTAGGATGGCATCACCATCTACACTACACTGTGCTTTTCTGTACAGCAATTTCCAAACCAAAGCGGATGGGGAGAGACAGACACAGAGAGAGGGAGGGAGAGACAGACAGAGACACAGAGAGAGAGAGAGAGAGAGAGAGAGAGAGAGAGAGAGAGAGAGAGAGAGGGGGGGGGGGGGCTGGAGTAGGCTGGATACAAACTGAGGACAAGCCTGGCCGCAAAACCAGCAGTGCCAACTTGCCTCTCGCTTGCAGAGAAACTTCTGCAATGTTTGCAATTGCGGGAAGCCCACTCCTGCTTCTCTTCGGTTGGATCTTGTTACTAGTATCTACATTGGGATGAGTTGAATTAAGTGGTCTCAACGTTAGACAAAGCCATCATTGGTACGGCAAGACATGTGTTCTAACACCATGCAGCAGCAGCAACAAGACCACCGCCTCCACCACTGTCGATGCCACTGCCGTAAATGATACAACAATGGCCACCAGCTGAGTATGCTTATCTGCTTTATGGGGTAGGCTGCCGCTCCGCTCCTTGGTTACGTGGTGAGCCTATAGTTCGTCTCCTCATTGTCGCTTCGCCGGCTCACCAAGGAACACACGACGATTGTCTTCGGCAACCACCGGGTGTTGAGTGTAGTAGCGGATAAGCACTTTCATCGTCTCAAATTGCATTTCACCCACCTTAAGGTGACCGTTTGCCTTGACATCGATCTTGAATGTATCCACTCTAATGTGTCAAATGTGCCGTATAAGCAGAAAGACCCGATACACGAGAACACACACATCCACGCATGTGCATGCACACACACACGCACACACACACACACACACACACACACACACGCACACACACGCACACACACACACGCACACGCACACACACACACACACACGCACGCACGCAGACATTGGACATCAACCAAGAACCATTCTGCTACAGTGAAACAGGCAAACAAGCTGATCATCTGATCACTTGTCAACAAACCGGAAGACACCGGGAGTTGGACCAGGCAAGAGCCAGGGCATCACAAACATCTCTCAGCCCGGGTTGTACATGCACTCTCACTTACTCTCCATCGTAGTAGACTGCTAGCGCAAGACCATTACCCTGCAGGGGACATTATACACAAGAACGCACACACGCACACGCACACACACACACACACACACACACACACACACACACACACACACACACCAGACTATACACTCAGACCTCGCTTATCCACTCCTCTTTTATCCGGTCCTCTTTTATCCGGATCCCTCACCATCCGGAAGAAAATTGCTGGTTACCGATTTACAGCATATGTCATGCATCCTTACAATATGTGTGTTCGATTACCCGGTTCCCTCGCTTATCTGGATATTTTTGGGGAAAACGGATGTGTGCGGTTAAGCGAGGTCTGACTGTATATGATCACGTGTTGACTCCCCTGATGCTATGACTCCCCAAATTTACATGATGGTACAGTGTGTCTGCTGTCTGCTGTCTGATGTGTGCAAGTACGCGAAACTCAACATACTGTAAAAGCAGAAATTTTCGGTGGTGTTTTATTTTTGGTAACTTCGGTGCCGAAATTTTTACCGAAAATAAAACACACCGAAAATTTCAGTATAGTACTAGTACACTAACCTGGCAAACGGGTTTACCGAAAATTTCCCTCCGCCGAACCGCCGGTTTTGGAGAATACCGAAAATATTACACCACTGAAAAGTTCTGCTTTCACAGAGTACGGTGTTGTGCTGGGGAGTGCCTGTGTTCAGTACATGGCTACACGTACACCCGGTATTGATTGGTGTCGGGGTCCCATCGCCGCCGTGATGCATAAATCTCCAAGTACTGGTACAAAGTACTACAAACTGTGCAGCGCTGAAAAGGTACAAGTGAATAAATATCAAACACATGCTGTCAATGTGCAGGTCAGCGACACCCGTACTGCTACTTACCCCAGACTGGCTGGTGCGTACGAGAAAAGCATTGTTCTTGCCATGCTAGAGTGGGTAGCAGCAGTGCCAGCAGCATCACCAGCAACAAAAGCAGTAGCAGCAACAGCAGCATCACCAGCAACAACAACAGCAGCAGCAGTAGCAACAGCAGCAGCAGCAAAAGCAGCATCACCAGCAGCAACAGCACCAGCAGCAGACAAAATGCAAAGAGAATCAGCAGAATACACAGAGATAGACTCAAACAAACACACCGCAGGGCAAGTTCCCGGGTGCATACCAAGGCTACACCGGAACTGATCTCTCTCTCTTCCCCAACGGCAAGGATTAAGACGTTAAATCCTGTACGGCCAGATCTGTGGGCAATACGGTCCCAGAATGGAAATGCACTGTGGAAAGAAAGAGGACTAAGAAAGATTCCGGAATTTTGCAATAAACCCATTGCGCATTGCCAATTATGGATTGCACGATCATTGCATGTGAGTGCGCTGGGATCAGCAATGCACTGTTCAACACCCCAGACGACCATACCCAGGTGGCTGTGTGGGGTGTTTATGGTACAAATTACGTCATTGCGCAATGGGCTTACTGATATCATACCAGTATGTACTGTGCTGCTCGATGAAATCCAATCAAGTAAGGAAAGGCCACGCTGTGCACTGTGCAGCTCTGGACCCTGCAAACCCTAGGATTGTGAAGTGACACAGGGTGCAGACTTGATGCACGCGATCGGATTTCATTGAGCAACACTGCACTATAGTTGGTGGTTGTATTGCAGCCCGGCCTAACTTGTGGGTATGGTGAACAATGTCACGTGGAGAGTGCATGTGGTTGGGAGTTTGGACTAAGTGATGTACATGCTGAAAACTGCTACTTACCCCCCTCCCCCCTCGGGTGGTAGACCCCCGCCCTGGCGATAGACTCCCCCCCCCCCCCCCTTGGTGATCCATTTGGCTATACCCGTGTATACAGCGTTGCAAGAAAAGGATTCTGGACCCTACCGAATGTAAGATGGCCTCCCCTTGGTCTCTTGTGATATCTGAGAAGAACCATGGCTCTCTCACTGCAAAACAAGCACACAAGCACATAATATATATACAGTCAACTTCGCTAATAACGATTGCGGATATAACGACAATTCGCGAATAACGACATAATTTTCATGCCCGGAGCAAAGTCCCAACCAACTGTGACACATATAATGAGACTTCGGATATAACGACACTTCGCGAATAAGGACACTTTCTGATGCCCCGCCGAGTGTCGTTAAAAGCGAAGTTGCTGTACATGTATATGCAAACATGCACATAGGAGGAGGACGACGAGGACGAGGACAATGAGGAGGAGGAGGAGGAGGAGGAGGAGGAGGAGGAGGAGGAGGAGGAGAGAAAAGGAGGAGGAGGAGGAGGGGAGGAGCATATTGTAATTGAATGCTCCGATGTGTTTCTGACCATCGTTTAGATAATTCATTGTTCACACAAGAGAGGTATAATTATAATTATAATGACTAACTTAAATGTACATGTAGGTGCTGGGTAGAAAGATGGATGGACGGTGGATGGATGGACGGATGGATGGTGGATGGATGGATGCGGGATGGATGGATGGATGGACGGTGGATGGATGGACGGTGGATGGATGGATGGTGGATGGATGAACGGTGGATGGATGGACGGATGGATGGACGGTGGATGGATGGGTGGACGGACGGATGGGTGGATGGATGGATGTATGGATGGACGGGTGGAGAGAGAGTGAGTGAATGAGTGAGAGAGAGAAAGCAGAGAGAGCCTGAGAGAAGAGAGAGAGAGAGAGAGAGAGAGAGAGAGAGAGAGAGAGAGAGAGAGAGAGAGAGAGAGAGAGAGAGAGAGAGAGAGAGAGGAGGCTGTATAGCGACTCCGAGTTCATGTTCAATTATGGACATCGATCACTTTTCTGATGATCGTGATGTGAAATTCAGAGTCGCAACACAACTTCCTCTTTCTCCCTATTGTGTTCAATGCTCTGCCCTATATGGGTATTGACTATTAAGCATTCTTCGGGCAGTGAAGCAACCAAATGATTGTGCTCTACCGTAGTGACGCGCATATAAGCACATGTGCCTATGCCCGGGCATAAGCGCACCCTCACAAATAAGCGCATGGGCTTATAAGTGAACCAAAATGCAGTCCATCCCGTGACACACAGACACCACAAAAACACCATATTCACA